AAAATTGAAACTGAATTCCAGGAACAAAAATACTAACATTTTAGCCGCAAAAGATGTAGGCACCAAAAGTCTTTGCAAACACAGATATCACTTTGTAAAAGTAGCTCTGACATTATCACTGTGCTGTACATAGCCTGTGCAGTCGGAGGGCCCAGCAGGTCACACCTACTACAGGCGGTCTGTGGTAAATTACAGGAGGGTGCACAGAGAAGACCAGTCACCCTGCACAAGAAGAGAGAATAACAGTGACTGGTCTGTATTACAGGAAGCTCCTGCACAGAGGTTAAATGTCACACTGGATTACTGCACAGATCTATAAAAAAAATACACAAAGCACACACAAAATGAAAAGTACGACTATACAGGCCTCGATTCCCAAGTTAAGCGCTCTTCCTCACCATAGGCTTTTTCTCTACTAGGAGTGTAATTACTTTCGGTGCTGGCCCAGTTCCTCCATCCCTCCTGTTATTTCCCTACATAACCTTTTTGTGAATAGCAGGGGCGAAGCAAGAGGACGTACCATAGGGTGCTACTTGAGTGAGTCTGCTGGAGCTGCTGATATCATATCCATAATGGTGGTGCCCAGCAGCAGTCTCAGACTTCTTGGATGTCTACAGGAGGTAGTGTTAACTTCCGTGGATGGCCTGGACATTTCTGTGAGATGGTTGCAGTTCCATCTTTGTTAAACTTTTGTATCGCTTTTGCTACAGTATTCTGACTGATAAGCAAATCTTTGCTGATCTTCTTGTAGCCTTCACCTTTCTTATGTAAAGAAATTATTTTCCTTCTCAGACCTTGTGGCATTTCTCTTCCATGTGGTGCCTGTTCTGACAGCATGAAATGGAAAGGAGTTTTCTTTAAGTAAAGGACTTTTATAATCAACTGTCTGCTGGACACCTGTTTAATGAATAATTAGACTCACCTGTAGTAGAATTCTTGTTATATTAGGATTTTGTTGTCTAAAATTTAGCTTTGCTTCTAAAACTTTCATTGGGGTGTATTCATTTTTGCAACATGGTCTTGAATGAATTTGTTAGGAAAACTACTTTATGTGTGCAAATCTGGTTTGCAATCAATGGCCCGCATTTGTGGGAGTATTTTGTAGTACAGTGCAGTGTTTGTAGTATAGTGTCCCACAGAAAATGTTGATTCGGAAAGGAAAATAAAGGTTTTCTAACTAATCTGTTGGGGTGTACTCATTTATGCTGAGCACACTATAAATATAATATATATATATATATACACACACAGTATCTCATAGAAGTGAGTACACCCCTCACATTTTTGTACATATTTTATTTATCTTTTCATGTGACAACACTGAAGAAATTACACTTTACTACAATGTAAAGTAGTGAGTGTACAGCTTGTATAACTGTGTAAATTTGCTGTCCCCTCAAAATAACTCAACACAGCCATTAATGTCTAAACCGCTGGCACCAAAATTGAGTACACCTCTAAGTGAAAATGTCTAAATTGGGCCCAATTAAGCATTTTCTATCCCCAGTGTCACGTGACTAGTTAGTGTTACAAGGTCTCAGGTGTGTTATATTTGGTGTTATCGCTCTCACACTCTCATACTGGTCACTGGAAGTTCAACATGGCACCTCATGGCAAAGAACTCTCTAAAGATCTGAAAAAAAGAATTGTTGCTCCACATAAAGATGACCTAGGCCAGTGATGGCGAACCCGTGGCACGCGTGCCACAGCCGGCACGCCGAGCCTTATCTGTGGGCACGCCAGGAGAATCCAGCGGCGCGCTGTCTTCCCGGCTGTAGTGTGCGTGACAGCCGGGTCCCAAGTGCGCATGCACAAGAAGCAGTGCTCTTTGTGAATGGTAAGGCGGTACTTGGGACACATGACAGATCCCAGAAGCCGCCGGACCAATCACAAAGCGCAGCGCTTCTCGCGCATGCGCACTGGGCATCCGGCTGTCCGACGAGCGCCCACACTACAGAAGCCGGGAAGACAGCGCGCGGCTGGATAAAGGAACAGGTAAGATAAAAAAAAAAACTCTGCGGAAGTAAGAGCGGGTACCTGTCAAATTCAGGTACCCGCTCCCCCTCCCTCCCCAAAGGTCAGCAGTCATCCCTGTACTGTGTCCGTCATCCCCTGTACTGTCCGCAGTCTCTGGTCATCCCCTGTACTGTCCGCAGTCTCTGGTCATCCCCTGTACTGTGTCCGCGCAGTCTCTGGTCATCCCTGTACTGTGTCCGCAGTCTCTGGTCATCCCCTGTACTGTGTGGTCATCCCCGTCCGCAGTCTCTGGTCATCCCCTGTACTGTGTGTGTCCGCTGTGTCAGTCTGGTCATCCCCTGTACTGTGTCCGCAGTCTCTGGTCATCCCCTGTACTGTGTCCGCAGTCTCTGGTCCCCTGTCCCCTGTGTCCGCAGTCTCTGGTCATCCCCTGTACTGTGTCCGCAGTCTCTGGTCATCCCTGTACTGTGTCCGCAGTCTCTGGTCATCCTGTACTGGTCCGCAGTCTCTGGTCCCCTGTACTGTGTCCGCAGTCTCTGGTCATCGCCCTGTACTGTGTCCGCAGTCTCTGGTCATCCCACTGTGTCCGCCTGGTCCTGTACTGTGTCCGCAGTCTCTGGTCATCCCCTGTACTGTGTCCGCAGTCTCTGGTCATCCCCTGTACTGTGTCCGCAGTCTCTGGTCATCCCCTGTACTGTGTCCGCAGTCTCTGGTCATCCCCTGTACTGTGTCCGCAGTCTCTGGTCATCCCCTGTACTGTGTCCGCAGTCTCTGGTCATCCCCTGTACTGTGTCCGCAGTCTCTGGTCATCCCCTGTACTGTGTCCGCAGTCTCTGGTCATCCCCTGTACTGTGTCCGCAGTCTCTGGTCATCCCCTGTACTGTGTCCGCAGTCTCTGGTCATCCCTGTACTGTGTCCGCAGTCTCTGGTCATCCCTGTACTGTGTCCGCAGTCTCTGGTCATCCCTGTACTGTGTCCGCAGTCTCTGGTCATCCCTGTACTGTGTCCGCAGTCTCTGGTCATCCCTGTACTGTGTCCGCAGTCTCTGGTCATCCCTGTACTGTGTCCGCAGTCTCTGGTCATCCCTGTACTGTGTCCGCAGTCTCTGGTCATCCCTGTACTGTGTCCGCAGTCTCTGGTCATCCCTGTACTGTGTCCGCAGTCTCTGGTCAGTCTCTGGTCCCTGTACTGTGTCCGCAGTCTCTGGTCATCCCTGTACTGTGTCCGCAGTCTCTGGTCATCCCTGTACTGTGTCCGCAGTCTCTGGTCATCCCTGTACTGTGTCCGCAGTCTCTGGTCATCCCTGTACTGTGTCCCGCAGTCTCTGGTCATCCCTGTACTGTGTCCGCAGTCTCTGGTCATCCCTGTACTGTGTCCGCAGTCTCTGGTCATCCCTGTACTGTGTCCGCAGTCTCTGGTCATCCCTGTACTGTGTCCGCAGTCTCTGGTCATCCCTGTACTGTGTCCGCAGTCTCTGGTCATCCCTGTACTGTGTCCGCAGTCTCTGGGTCATCCCTGTACTGTGTCCGCAGTCTCTGGTCATCTCCCTGTACTGTGTCCGCAGTCTCTGGTCATCCCTGTACTGTGTCCGCAGTCTCTGTCATCCCTGTACTGTTAATTAGTTTGCACTACTGTACGAGTTGTTTTTTCTAAACCAAAAGCTCGATATTCAGGTTTCATTGCAGTGTTGGCACTTTGAAAGAAATAAGTTGGTTTTGGGTTGCAGTTTGGGCACTCGGGCTCAAAAAGGTTCGCCATCACTGACCTAGGCTATAAGACGACTGCTAAGACCCTAAAACTGAGCTGCAGCATGGTGGCCAAGACCATACAGTGGTTTAACAGGACAGGTTCCACTCAGAACAGGTCTCGCCATGGTCGACCAAAGAAGTTGAGTACATGTGCTCAGCATCATATCCAGAGGTTTTCTTTGGGAAATAGATGTATGAGTGCTGCCAGCATTGCTGAAGAGGTTGAAGGGGTGGGGGGGGTCAACCTGTCAGTGCTCAGACCAAAAGCCGCACACTGCATCAAATTGGTCTGCATGGCTGTTGTCCCAGAAGGAAGCCTCTTCTAAAGATGATGCACAAGAAAGACCGCAAACAGTTTGCTGAAGGACAAGCAGACTAAGTGAATTACTGGAACCATGTCCTGTGGTTGGATGAGACCAAGATAAACGTATTTGGTTCAGATGGTGTCAAGCGTGTGTGGCGGCAACAAGGTGAGGAGTAGAAAGTTAATTGTGTCTTGCTTGCATTCAAGCATGGTGGTGGGAGTGTCATGGTCTGGGGCTGCATGAGTGTTGTCGGCACTGGGGAGCTACAGTTCATTGAGGGAACCATGAATGCCAACATGTACTGTGACATACTGAAGCAAAGGATGATCCCCTCCCTTTGGAGAATAGGCCGCAGATCAGTATTCCAACAGGATAACAACCCCAAACACACCTCCAAGACAACCACTGCCTTGCTAGAGAAGCTGAGGGTAAAGGTGATGGACTGCCCAAGCATGTCTCCAGACCTAAACCCTATTGAGCATCTGTGGGGCATTCTCAAAACAGAAAGTGGAGGAGCGCAAGGTCACTAACATCCACCAGCTCCGTGATGTTGTCATGGAGGAGTGGAAGAGGACTCCAGTGGCAACCTGTGAAGCTCTGGTGAACTCCATGTCCAAGAGGGTTAAGGCAGTGCTGGAAAATAATGGTGGCTACACAAAATATTGACACTTTGGGCCCAATTTGTACATTTTCAATTAGGGGTGTACTCACACTTGTTGCCAGTGGTTTAGACCAGGGCTTAAAATTTCAAGTCCTGAGCTACTAGCCAGGCCTTACAGTTACTCGCCACCAACACACACACCTGTACACACACGCACAGAGACACATGTACACACACACACACACACACACACACACACACACACACACACATGTACACACACAGGCACGTACAGACACGCATACACACAGATACATGTACATACACAGAAATACACAGGCACAGACACATGTATATACATACACAGACATGTACACACAGGCACATGTATATACATACACAGACACATGTACATCCATACACATGTACATCCATACACACAAACACACACGTACATGCACACAGACACATGTACAGATACACACATGTATATACAGTACACACACAGGCACATGTACAATTGTGCATGCATACGCAGACACACACAAAACACACATGTACACACACACCCCCCATATAAAGTTGCAGTACTTCGTTGTTCACTCACAGATCTGAGTACTGCACTCTAGGCGGAGGCAGAGTACAGCACACACTCCTTGCTTTGCTTTCACTGCGCTCAGCTATTAGGCAGTCTGATGGCTCCCAGTGCCAATGACAGACCTGGCCTGAGCTCCGAGCCTGCTCAGCAAGACGGCCCTGGAGGACACACTCGCCCCCACCATAATTTCCACTCGCCATTGGCGAGCAGGCGACTGGAAATTTCAAGCCCTGGTTTACATATTAACGGCTGTGTTGAGTTATTTTGAGGGGATATCAAGTTTACACTGTTATACAAGCTGTACACTCACTACTTTACATTGTAGCAAAGTGTCATTTCTTCAGTGTTGTCACATGAAAAGATATATATATATATATATATATATATATATATATATATATATATATATATATATCTGGCGTCTAATGATGCCACTGTGCCTCCTCGCTACCTCCTGGGAGAACTGGGTACTTGAATTCCAATGTGAATTCCCTCCTGCACTGTGTTGCTTAGAGTTACTATATAACACAGCTTAATTGAAGCTGATAAAAAAATTTTTTTTACATTGTAATAAACTACAGTAGTAACTATTTAAAGTCTCTTTTAATGCTCCTCGCATGGGATTTGTGGTTAGCATATAACTTAATAAAATTAGCTTACAGTATGTAGGTTAACAAAATAAATTCATCCATACACATCAGTAAAAGAAAAAAAAAAAAAAAAAAACACAACATGCCATGGAGTATTTTCACAAGAACAATCTAGCTAAAAGGAAATACCAATATTTCAACACAATCAAGCAGAGACCACAGCCACTACTGTGCAGGGATGTGGTCAGTTAATGGAAATAATAAAAGCTAACCGTCTACCTTCTAGATTTGTGCAATATGATGGCAACAGTTGTAGTACAGGCCAAATTTCAATGATATAGCAGTATTTGGGGGTCTAACACCTTGGAATACATTGATAAAAAAAATCTGCATAGATATTTGCCCAGTGAAAGTGCATGTACATTTGTTCTGTGCAAATGTGGCAAAAACAAATATTAGGCTATTTCCTATGCTGATTGAATGTTTTTTTCAATAATTTAAACAAAAAAATACAGCATTTGGTCACTAGATGGTGCTAAGTATCATAGAAAACTCCTACTATACGTCATGCCATCTAGTGGTCAAATGCAATATTTTCTGTTTTAAATCAATAGAAAACATTTAACCAGCACAGGAAATAGGCTAGTAACATTCGATTATTGGTTAGATGTTAGTGGGATTATGTAATGTCACACTTTGTTTGGTATCATCACCTGTAAGAAAATGCAGAGAAGTTTTGCTTTGAAATTTTGTTATATGGTTGTACAGCGCCTACCAATTCAAGTTTGTTTATAGATCAAAATTTGGTCGGTTCAGCAGGGACCACTTGAATTTTGATCCATGTATGGACAGGCAGGGTGGTTGTACAGAACAGGATTTCCCAATCAATTTCTGTACAACAGCCCTGTCTGATTTTTGCCACTCTATCAACGCTGCCGGCTATAGCAGTGTACTCTGATGGTGGGGAAGTCTTCCCACTGTCAGAATACAATAGTTCAGTGGGATGACTCCCCCATCCACCTTGAAACTTGCTGGTTGAATGGAAAAAAAAAATGATTCATGTATGGGCAACTTTACTGTAAGAAGGTCATTCGATTTGACCCCACTAATTAGAAAATTGATCAAATGTTCTTAAAATGAAAAATTCAAACAGAATTCTTCTAGTGTATGGCCGGTGTTAAAGCCACAGTTTGAATTTTCAGTGTGCTGCTGACATAAGGCAGCTTGATATAGCTAAAAGCATAAACATAAAAAAGATGTTTATTGAGATTGATTATTTGGAAGGGTTTGTTCACACCAGCCTGCATGCTAAAATGTGTGTGCGCTGATATACGTCGTTTAGGGGCAGTGTGTGTGATGTGTTGTCACTATGCAAGGCAACGTTTACCACTTTTGATTTTTATTTTTAACTTTATTGAAGTGTCACATAAGTACAGATCTGTGGATAACAACTACTCATTTTATATGATATACAGTAAATAAAACCATTTTCTTGTATAGCATTATTCAGGCAGTGTTACTTCGGTATAACATTCCTAATGGCCTCTGCCTGATGGGCAATTTCAGTCCAGCCCTGATGATTCACATGTGTGTGTCACATTAAAGGAGTGGTTCAATGTGCAATGACCTAACAGCAATGCACTAGAGAATTCAATAAACATCATAGCACAAGCTGAATCTCTAATTCAACACAGAAAATGCTGCTGGTGCAAAAATAGTTATGGATTTTGGTGTGAAGAAAATATTAAAGTGACACTATCATCAAATATTATCTTTTATAGATAATCATATGCTTTCTGCTACTTTTCTCTCTAGAAAAACAGCACCATCTTTGTTCAGGCATCACAGAGGGTCAGCATCTACTTCCTAGGCTGAGATGTCTGCTCAGAGAATACACAATTATGTAAGTCTTGTTGGATGTGCAGTTCTTGGCTGTATTTACAAAATGTCTGAGGTTCACAGATCAGACTCTGATCACTGGGAAAAAATGCTTCCCCCTGCCTACCAGAAGAATGGTGACATCACAGCCTAGGCGTTATCACTGGACTAAAGCTTAAAGTATATGTACACTTTTTTTTTTTTTTAATGGCAAACATGTTAAACTTGCCTGCTCTGTGCAATGGTTTTGCACAGAGCAACCCAGATCCACCTTTTCTGGGGTCCCCTGCTGAGTGGCCCCATAGCAAGCCACACCATGGCACAGTCCTGACCCCCCCCCCCCCCCTCCCCTCCTCACTGGCTTGGACTGATAACAGCAGGAGCAAATGGTTCCACAACTGCTCCATGTCCAGTGATGGGCACAGTGCTGGATCGAGATTGGGCACAGTGCTGGATCGAGATTGGGCTCAGGTTATTATACAATGCAATTAAGGTAAAAGACCTTCTGACTTTACAACCACTTTAAAGTGATATTAAAGGCCATTTTTTCTTAAAGTAAAAAATATTTAATACTTACCTGCCCTGTGCAATGATACATTGTTCACATCGACCATTTTTCAGGTTTTGTAGGTCAAACCTTGATGTAAGCTGCCTAAACGTTGAATTTTCTAGCGCAAACTTTCATTGCTCCATTTGGTGATTAGTGATTTTTAACAGGCTGCCGGCTGAGGCTAGATGGAACCCAAACACCTACTCCTCCATCCTAGCGCACGTACAGGGCCCTTCTGTGTCAGTGTGAACAAACCCTAATATTCCAGACTTCACTCTGGATTTCAGAGGTGCTGCTTTCAAAACATGGGCAACAGAGGATGGATTAGGTCTACCACACATCCTAAACATGAATGATCACTTTCTATTCTGCTGGGATGGCATCTTGGTATTACTGTGAAACTGCTGGGCATCTATGTGGCATTTTCTCTTCTATTCTAAAAAATTAAAAGTCCTTTTTTGGGGTTACTTAAGAAAATCCTCTATAGTGTCCTGCAGTGGCAAATTTGAGGTTTGTCCACAATTTTAGACCATCTCACCTAAAGTACAGATGATTAGATACTATTAGAATACCCTATTTATCTATTTAAAAGGGTAGCTAAACATTAATTTCAAATGTGAAAGTGCTCTAACAATCAGTCATTTATTTATATGCATGGCATACTTTACAGTACTTTCTGAAATATATTGAACTATTCAACAGTATCTGTTTCTAAAGAATCTTTTTCCTCAATTTCCCGACCACACCCATACTGCTAATTGCTGTTCTCAAGCCTCTATTTGCTAAAATGATAGCTAATATAAAACGATAAGCTTCACAGGAAAGTTACAAATAAATGCAAAATGTTTCATTTTCTATACAGGTTTGGATTCATTTCCTTGCATATTTGTTAAGCTTTCTAGTAGCCCTTTTAGATAAAGTAACTTATTTCCACTGGTCCTTTAACCAATTAAAATTTGTAATCCATTTGGGAATCCATAGGATAGAGCTTTCTTGGAGTTCATGTTAAAAGAAGTGGAAATCCCTGGGAAACCACCATGATCTGAAATTCAAGTGTTCGGCCAATTAAACACACCTTAATTTCACAGTAAAAATTCAGGGTGGTCCACCATGACTTGGAAATAATTTGCAACACATTTTTTCTCAAAGCATCTGTAAATAAATCTTTTTGTTTAACTGCTTTCCCACTGCCCTATAGCAGAAACACTGCTACAGGGCGGCAGACGTGCACAAAATCACACTATTATATATATATATATATATATATATATATATATATATATATATATATATATACACATACACATACATACATATACATACACACACACATATATATATATATATATATATATATATATATATATACACACACACACATATATATACATACACACACACACACACACACACGATGTTGCATTTCCAGGTAGGGGGGAGCGCGCACTGCCCACGTCGCCTTTCGTGGCCTCGGCTGTCAATCTTTAAGTCCCTGACGGTGATTACTCGCTGACACCCGGTGATCACTGAATATTGCCAAAGGGGGAGAGAACTGTATGCATAGCAGAGCCATGCAAAGCAGTGTGCTTACAGTGGAAAGCACACACACAGCCTCATAGTAAAACACATACAGCACACAGTTAACCCTTTGATCACCCCAGATGTTAACCTCTTCCTGCCCAGTGCCAGTGCTTTTTACTGTATACGGTCACTGTATTGGTGTCACTGGGGATGTCAGTGACACCAAGTCAGTTCCCCCCTAGTGTCCGAATGCCCGCCTCAGTGCCGCAGCCCAGCTATAAATCGCTGATAGCCACCACTACTAGTATAAAAAAAAAAAAAAATTCCAGTATCTATACCGCCATTTGTAAATGCTATAACGTTCACATAAACTAATTAAATTTACATGTATTGGGATTTTTTTTTTTTTTTTTTTTTTTAGCAAAGACATGGAGCAGAATACATGTTGCTCTTAATTTATGACTAAATTTGATTTTTTCATTTTTTTTTTTATTGGACATGTTTAATAGCAAAAAGTAAAAAAAAGAGTTTTTTTTTTTCTCAAAATTGTTGGTATTTTTTTGTTTATAGCGCAAAAAAAAAAAAAAAACACAGAGACAATCAAATACCACCGAAAGAAAGCTCTATTTGTGGGAAAAAAAAGATGTAAATTTAATTTGTGTGCAGCGTTGCATGAATGCACAATTGTCAAATTAAAGTAACGCAGCGCTGTAA